AGAAGAAGTTAAACTGTCCCTGTTTGCAGATGACATGATATTGTACATAAAAAACCCTAAAGAATCCACTCCAAAACTGCTAGAACTAATATCTGAATTCAGTAAAGTTGCAGGATACAAAATTAATACACAGAAATCTGTTGCATTCCTATACACTAATGATGAACTAGCAGAAAGAGAAATCAGAAAAACAATTCCATTCACAATTGCATCAAAAAGAATAAAATACCTAGGAATAAACTTAATGAAGGAAGTGAAGGACCTATACACTGAAAACTACAGGACATTCATGAGAGAAATTAGATACCAATAAATGGAAACACATTCCGTGCTCATGGCTAGAAAGAATTAATATTGTCAAAATGGCCATTCTGCCTAAGGCAATCTACAGATTCAATGCAATCCCTATTAAAATACCAACAGCATTCTTCAACAAACTAGAGCAAATAGTTCTAAAATTCATATGGAACCATGAAAGGACCAGAATAGCCAAAGCAATCCTGAGAAGGAAGATTAAAGGGGGGGGGGAATATGCTCCCTGACTTCAAGCTCTACTACAAAGCCATAGTAATCAAGACAATTAGGTACTGGCACAAGAATAGACCCATAGACCAATGGAACAGACTAGAGAGCCCAGATATAAACCCAAGCATATATGGTCAATTAATATATGATAAAGGAGCCATGGACATACAATGGGGAAATGAAAGCCTCTTCAACAACTGGTGTTGGCAAAACTGGACAGCTACATGCAAGAGAATGAAACTGGATTACTGTCTATCCCCATACACAAAAGTAAACTGGAAATGGATCAAAGACCTGAATGTAAGTCATGTAGCCATAAAGCTCTTAGAAGATAACATAGGCAAAAATCTCCTGAATTTAAACATGAGCAACTTTTTTCTAAATGCATCTCCTTGAGCAAGAGAAACAAAAGCAAAAATGAACACATGGGACTACATCAAACGTAAAAGCTTCTGTACAGCAAAGGACACCATCAATAGAACAAAAAGGCATCCTACAGTACGGGAGAACATATTTGTAAGCAACATATCTTGACAAGGGGTTAACATCCAAAATATATAAAGAACTCACATGCCTCAACACCCAAAAAGCAAACAACCCAATTAAAAAATGGGGGGAGGATATGAACAGACAATTCTGCAAAGAAGAAATTCAGATGGCCAACAGGCACATGAAAAGATGCTCCACATCACTAATTATCAGGGAAATGCAAATAAAAACCACAGTGAGATATCACCTCACACCAAGTTAGGATGGCCAGTATTGAAAAGACTAAGAATAACCAATGCTGGTGAGGATGTGGAGAAAGGGGAACCCTCCTACATTGCTGGTGGGAATGTAAGCTAGTTCAACCATTGTGGAAAGCAATATGGAGTTTCCTCAAAAAACTAAAAATAGAAATACCATCTGACGTGGGAATTCCACTCCTAGGAATTTACCCAAAGAATATAATTTCTCAGATTCAAAAAGACATATGCACCCCTATGTTTACTGCAGCACTATTTACAAAAGCTAAGATACGAAAGCAACCTAAGTGTCCATCAGTAGATGAATGGATAAAGAAGATGTGGTCCATATACACAATGGAATATTATTCAGCTATAGGAAAGAAACAAATCCTACAATTTGCAACAAGATGGATGGAGTTGGAGGATATAATGCTCAGTGAAATAAGCCAGGCAGAGAAAGACAAGTACCAAATGATTCCCCTCATATGTAGAGTATAACAAGGAAGCAAATCTGAAGGAACAAAACAGCACAGACTCACAGACACCAAGAAGGGACTAGCAGTTACCAAAGGGGAGGGGTGGGGGAGGGTGGGTGGGTAGGGAGGGGAAGGGGTATTCAGGGGTGTTATGAGTGGCACACATGGTGTTGGGGGGATCATGGGAAAGACAGGGTAGCACAGAGAAGGCAAATAGTGACTGTGGCATCTTACTACACTGGTAGGCAGTGACTGTAATGGGGTATGGGGGGGACACGATAACATGGGTGAATGTAGTAACCACATTGTTTTTTTCATGTGAAATCTTCATGAAAGTGTATATCAATAATACCTTAATAAAAATAACAAAAAAACAATAACAACAAAAAAATACCAAATCATCTAAGGAAAATTTCTAATTTGCCCTTCAAAGGTATAGGACAAATAAATCTTGGTCAGAAATTCTTAGATACCTAATTGATAGTAGCACTGCCAATTAACAAGAAAGGTTTCTGATTTCACAAAGTTTTAGATTTAAAATGAGTCAGTGTTAAGCTCTAGGATACTGTGAATTTTTATGTTCATTTCTACCACTTACCCTCAAAATGAATTTTCATCAATTGCACATCTATTTACCACAGCTGTTTCTGGCCAGGAATTCTCTCTCACAACTTTTGGTAATTTGAACATAATTTTAAACATGTCAACACACCATAAGTCCTCAATAAACAATGTTAATTCCTTTCAATTCAAAATTATAAGAGCATAAAGGTCATAAGGAATATTTTTTTCTCAAAACAGAAAACTCTGAGCTCATAAACTCAAGAATATCATTATGTGAAATACCCAGACTTTATCCCAAGTTTAAGTCATTTTCTTTTTTTTTAATGAGGTATAATCGACATAAGCCATTCTCTTAAACATGTATAATTTTCATCAATTTCTACCACCATTCTTGTTTTAAAATACATTCCTAAGTTCCTGCTGCAAAATCAGAAAATTGTCTTGGATTTCATGTAAACCCATGCTTTAGAAACAGCACACAGGTAAACTGACTTATGAAAGAACCCCACTCGAATGTGAGCTTCAAGATGATGGCAGATTTTTGGTCTATTCACTGCTGTGGCCCCTCCCTCTTCCCCAGCGTGCCTTGAATGGTACTTGGTACATGGGATTGCAAACGATATTTGCTGGACTGAAAGAACTTATGCGTGTAGACCCCTTACTGCAAAACCAGACCCAAACCACCAGTAAGATCCCATCACCAACAAACACCATGGGAAAACCTGGAGTAATCTCATGTTGTGCAAAGACACAGTGAGCCCCTAGAGAATAGAGGAGAGGAAGGCAACACAGGGGAAATGACCTAGACTCAGTCTTTGCACACTGCACCAATGTGTTCATGCTGATGCGGGGTCTAAAACCCCACCGATTTAGACATTCACTTACATTAACAAGTCTTCTAAGAATGCAGGAATCATTTAAGCCTCTCAACCACCTTACGAAGTAAATATTTCATCATACTATTTTGCAGATGCATGAAGCTAAGTAGCTGAACTTCTTTGCCAGCATCATACAGTACGTAACAGCATGAATCTGAACCTTTACCCTACCATGCTACCTGTCCCCACAGTGGCAGGGGAATAGGACTAACTTTCATCCACACATCAGTGCACATCAGTTCCCCATCGTTTTATCCAAACAGCTAAAACAACCTTCCTCAAAGACAGGGCTTTTGTTTGGGGTGACGGGCAAGCAACAAGTACTTTTAGAACGTGGAACACTTTGGAGGCAAGACTCTATTAAAGTGAAGGTCATGGATTTGGGGTGCCTGAGGAAACCAACACTCAAAGACAAACCACAGATTTCAAAACATTGCACAGGGGCAGCTCTAGCTCCAGAACAGCTTGCCTCTCTCTCTTCCTCTTCCTACCCTTCCACGTGACCCTCAGGATTCTCTGCACTAGAAAATAGGCTACCATTGTTAGTGACATAGTTTGGCAACATTATGTGTCCCAACCACAGTGACTGGCACAGAACAGGCACGCAAATATTTACTGAATGAAGCAAAGATCAAAGTTGTTTCCCTGGGCAAGCTGGGACCCCAGCTGCCGTTTTTAACAAAGTGGAAATGAGAAATGCATTTGAGCACCTGGTGTAAAAATGGTGCAAAATGGTTATTGGTGGAAAAATGAACTTTTAAAGGGCGGGTCTACATTGGGGACAGGCTTCAGGGAAAGCCTTTTTCCTCAGCCAGACGGCTTCCAAGGAGAAAACAGCTTAGCACTTTTAGCACACAAATACAGATCTCGGAAGGCGCATGCTGTTTTAACATGTTAAGAGTATAAAAACAAACACCATTACCTTATTTAGGTCGCCTAGTTTAGGTCATCTTAACATGAATAGCAGCTTAAAAAAACAACAACCGTTCTTAGCATTCTCAGGGTGAGAGGAGGGTGGGGGTAGGGTAGAAGATAACATTTTCCAAAAAGTTCGCAGTGGGCCAACGAAACAAAAAAAAAATCACAGTCCACGGTGTGTAAAAGTTCCCTTGAAAACACGACCAGTAATTTATTCAAATTTAATGTTTTCTACCAGTCAAACCGAGCCCATGTTTATAAGACGTGAGGAAAAGCCAAACGGCTTCAAAGACACTTCTTGAAAATTTTATCCCGTTTCTCTTTTTGGTCGTCCACCCTTGACCTTAAGACCTGGCTACTGGTTCCAATTGGTACGGATTCTTCATAACGTGAGATTTTCAGGCTTAAAATTACAGTAAACTACTGGGGCCGACCGAGAGCCAAAAGCAACAAGGAAGATGCCCATTTTTCTCTTCCACCCTTCTTCCATTTGCCACCTAAGAAAAATCGCACGTTTTTACGTTAGGAAAGGGACCCATCTTTCGAGATCCTATGCAGCGTTTAGCCTGATCGGGGGCAAACCTGCCGATGCCGAAATACAGGTTTAAGTCCTCATCCACCATGAATTAGTTCTGCGCTCTTCCACTACCCCCTTTGTCTGAGCTGTCCCTGCAAACTCGCAGCTGAATGCCTCGCTATAAACAAGCTATCTAAACGAAAAGGAACGTTTTCTAGTCTTTTAAAAAAAGAGAAAACGCGGAGAGCGCTTCTGGAGCCTGGTTCCCAGCCGCAAGCAGGCAGGGCTGCACACGACGGAAAGCGCGACCCTGGGGGCGGGCGGAGCGGCGAGCTCGGCCGGGGAGGGGGCCCCGCGGCCCCGCGCCCGGCCTCTTTGCCGGCCTGGCGCTCACCTCCGTGGATGGGCAGCGGCGCCAGCACCTGGCCGCGGACCTCGGCCTTGGGCGAGTCGAGCCCGTAGCGCCCGCGGTCGATGCGAAACGTGAGGGGGGCGCCGCGGCCGGGCTCTTGCACTGTCACGTTGATGAGCGCCGTGTAGTACTCCTGGTTCGTGTTGTCCGCCCGCGCCGGCCACAGGCTGCAGGTCAGCAGCGCGAGCGCGGCGAGCCGGGCCGTGCCCGCCCGCGCCGCGCCGCTCATCGTCCCTCCGGCCGCTGCCGCCGCCGCCGCTCGCGGACCGAGCTCCAGAGCCGGCGCCGAGAGGCGGGGCGGGCGCGGCCGGCGCTGCGGCGGGAGCACGCGCGCGCGCGACCTGCGAGCGGAGGGGAACGAGCACGGCCCCCCTCGGCGCCGCGGCCCCGCCGCTCACCGCCCTTACGTCCGCGGCCCGCCCGGGTCACGCGCCTATGGGCCTAGGGCGAAGACGGTGGTCAGGCCGCACGCGGCCGTTTCCTCGGGGCTCCGCCAGGGCTGTGGGGACCGGCCGCCTCCATCCCCCGGGGCCGGTCCCGCCGAGTGTCGGGGACGTCTCCCTCAGACGGCGGGGACTCGGGGAGACTGCGCCAGAAATAGGGTCCGTGGAGCATAAAGTGGCGCTCGACAGGCAGCCGCCTGCGGCGCGTGCTCGCCGCCCCGCCCCGCGCCGAACGAGCGGTAACGCGCAGGCCCGGGCCACAGCCCCGCCCCCACGCGCATGCGCGCGGGGCCCTGCCCGCTCCCGCCCGCCTGCACGAGGGCCCCAGCTGGCGTTTAGGTCGCTTCCCGGGCGCAGCCGCTGCTGGTCAGTCGAGAGTGGTGGGCACAGGCCTGGGGCCTGGGAGCTTTCCAAGGGCCTATACAGAAATTTGACACGAGAATACAAAAGAAAAGCAGTTATCTTTACAACTAATTTAAAAGAAATGTCTATTAGATTTCAACTGGTCAACTGGCAGGCATATAATTGATATCATGACAGGGTTGGGTTGGGGGTAGATGGTCTCCTTAAATAAGAACTGGGGACTGCTGCACCTGAACTGTAAGGGCACCTGAGTGGTTGAGAAGGCCCTCTGCAGACTGGGTGAAGCCTCCAGTGGTACTGGGCAAGTAGAGCGCGATGAAATCTGCCACCCCAAACACCTGCCACCCCACACACTCGCCTTCCCCCCAGCACGCACACACCGTGTCCGTTAGGCTAGGCACCTTTCTGCAACATAAAGGAAGGGGAAGGGTGGCTAGCTTCAGGTGTGGCTGAATACCGGGAGGATGTACTGGAGGAGGTGGGAGGAAGGATGGCATCTTCTGACCAGCCAGCCCTGGATCCCTCACCTAGAGTGAGAGGAGTGGAGTCAGCCTTGCCAGCCACATATCCTGAGACTCCTGGAGAGGGGCTGCTTCCCAAAGGAAGCAGAGGCACTGTTTCCAGGCAACGGGTTTGGATGCAATGCAGGCTAGTATCAGAGTGTACATGTGTCTTCTTATTGATATCCCCCTCCAAGTCCTTCCTTTTCACCCCCACTACCATTTTCTGTCTAATCCGGGTCCTGACCTGTTGAGACTGGATTGCACTTATCTACTTGCCTCCCTGTATACAGCCTCTTGACCCAACTACCAGGCCCCCTTCCTGGGCCTAGCAGTAAAGGAGAATCTGCTCTGACCCTCTGGCAGCCAGACCTCTCCTACAGGGCAAGGAGTCCTTGGGACCAAGACACCCATGCTAAGGTACTTGATAACTGGAATTCCCTGCCCAGGCAGCTGGTAGGGGTTCCTTTGCTCTGGTATGCAAAGGAACTTGCATACCACTGGCATGCACTGGCCTACCCCTGCCAGACAAACTCAGGCCCTAGGGTCCTTACAAGGGTCTTTCAAAGTGTGGGATGCCCATACCCCCTATGAGAAATGATCACAGAGGCCCACAGACATGACCCTGTTACATCAGACAGGAAGGAAGAGGGTCCCTTTAAAGTCCTCTTTGACGCATGTGAAGTTGTCAAGGAGAAAGTTGGTTCTGAAGCACTTTCCACAATTCTGTGGCACCTGCCAATCTCCCTTTTAAACCAAGTGGAATGAGGCCTCCTGAGCTCAGCCTCCTCAGGTACCAGCATCTGAGGTGATGTTAACACCACCCTGCCTTTGGGAGTGCAGTTGTCTTTCAGTTTATGGAGACCCTTCCTTTAGGACAAGAGGCTTTTCATTTATAGTAGTGATGCAAAGCTACCTTTTAAAAATTGTGATAAAATACACATAACATGGAATTTACCATCTTAACCATTTTGAAATGTGCAGTTCAGTAGCAGTCAGTACACTCACATGAGTGGGCAGCCGTTCCCACCATCCATCTCCAGGACTCTCTTGTCTTGTTAAGCTGAAACTCTGTCCCCATTAAACACAAACGCCCCATTCCACCCTCCCGCAAGCTGCTAGCAACCACCAACTATTCTGTTCTCTGTTTCTATGAATTTCAGATATATATATATATATATATATATATATATATATATATATGGAATCATACAGTATTTGTCTTTTTGTGAGTGGCTTATTTCACTTAGCATAGTGTCCTCCAGGTTCATCCATGTGGTACCATATGTCAGTTTCTTTCATTTTAAGGATGAATAATATTCTGTTGTATGTACAGAGCACATTTTGTTTATCTATCTGTCAGTGGACACTTGGATTGCTTCCATCTTTTGGCTATTATGAATAATGCTGCTATGGACATGGGAGTACAAAGTATCTTTTTGAGATCCTGATTTTAACTCTTTTCCCCAAACACCCAGAATGGGATTGCTGGGTTATATGGTAGTTCCATGTTTAATTTTTTGAGGACCCTCCATACCGTTTTTCATAGCAGTGATACCATTTTACATTCCCACCAACAGTGCACAAGTGTTCTGATTTCTCCATATTTATGCCAACACTTTGAACCATACTACCTTTGAAACATTTAAGTGAAAAGAAGTGAGCTGATTAAAAGTATATTATTTATTTAAGTAAGTAAAAGCACAGGTGGTACTTGGCTATAGCAGGTCTTGTGAAGGTGTGGATAAAGTGACAGTTCCTGTGGCCAGGATTCTCACCTGGTCCTGGTTGAGTCGCTCACTGCACACCTGTGGGCAATACATGGCTGTTGACTCTATATAAAGAGCTCAACCCAGTGCGCTGAGCGTGGCTTGGTGGCAGGGCTGCAAGACTGCAGGAGAGCAGAGCAGAGGCTGGAGTGGTGGCAGTGCTGAGGACAGAGGCCCAGAGGATGGCTGTGCAGGACAACTGTGCAGAGAGGCCCAGACGATGGCTGTGTGGGATGGCTGTGCAGGCAGAGAGGCCCAGAGGACAACTGTGTGGACAAAGAGGCCCAGAGGCAGAGACCGGCTTGCTGCATGCAGACTCGCTCTGAGTGAATGGGATTCTAATGACTGACCTGCCACCTTGAAATGAAGTTGGGTATAACCCTTTCACCCCAAGAACGTTTTGCTATCAATTTCTTTGGTCACACTGAATCCATAGTGACCTTGTCCGGGGCTGAAACCCATTGGCAAGACAGAAGGACACGGTGCTGAGGTCTGACTCAGGCCCACACTGGCCTGGGAGTGAGCTACCTGTAAGCCCCACATCTCTGTGGCACCCTTCCTTTAACTCCACCACTCTTGATTCTCTCCTGCCTCTGCTCCCACCTTCCATCTCCCAAGGATTCCTAGATCACCTACGAGCTATAGCTAAAATTTCCCTTCTCTACAGAGCTCCAGTGGGCCCAGCTGTGAGCCTCCCAGCTCCAGGTCCTGGTAAGGGCTTCAGCTGGGCTCCCTCCTCAGGGAGCAATATCTGCCTTCCCAGGGGCAGCCTGTGTGTGAAGCACACTAACAGCACTTAGTCGGCACAAGCTGATTCCCTGGGCAGTGTTAGAAACCTCAAAGGATTGTCCAAAGTCCAACTCCTCCTCGTCCTCCTCTTGACCCTTCTCCTCTTTTCTTTCTTAAATGGCACATGATCCCCTCTGGTCCCAGCAAGGCTCTGGCCCTATTTTATTATTTATGCATTCTCTTTTATCACTACCTCTCCTGCACATTCCCTCCCAACAGCCAACCATTCTAATGCTCCTAATGTGTGTCTGTTGTGTTCTTGCAAAATCAGTGGTATTGTTTCGTGTTCATGTATTTCTTAGGTACTGGTTGTAGATGTCATTCTGAGTCTCACTCTCCATACCCAGCACTATGTTGGGTTATTTTCTTTCCCCTTTTCTTGCATTTATTTAGTAAGGTTTAATTGAAATACAGCATGCCTGTATTAAAGTACAAGAAACAGTATGTGTAAAGCTCAGAAGATGTTTATTAGGAAGTGACAACATCTTTGTAACCACCACCTAGAGCAAGGTGAAGAACATTACCAGCAGCCCTGAAGCTTTCCTAGGTGGCTCAGGCATTAGCATCCCACTTTTCTGACCTTTGTTACCATAGATTAGTTTGCCTGTTTTTGAACTTTATAAAAACAGAACCACACAGTGTGTACTGTTTGGTGTCTGGTTGCTTTTTCTTAACATCATGTCTGTGAGATTCTTTCTCTTGGCATGTAGTGGTAGCTTGCTCTTTTTCCTTACTGTATACTATTCCATAATTTCTTTGTCCATTTTCCTGTTGAGGTGTTTGTATTGATTTCTGTTTGGAACTATTATGAACAGAGCAGTTATGAGGACTGGGTGTCTTTTGGTAGACATATGCATGTCTCTCAGAGAGTGTATACTCTGGAGGGGAGTGGCTGCATTGCAGACAGGTGCATATTTAGCTTTGGTGGATGCCAGCACTGTCTTTTTAAGCTGCCCTACCTTTAGCTTTTGCCTTTCTGCTTGCCCCCTGGGGCTCTGTCCCTTGAAGATCTTGGTCCATGTTGGCTGCTCCTTGTTGCTGATTAATCTCCCTCCCCCCACCAGCACTGGCCACAGATGAAATGACTGTGGAAAACCCATCCAGTTGCCATGGGGCAGGCTGTCCTGGAGAAGCTGTTTACAGTATGTTCCTCATGTATCCTAAAGTCCTGAGAGACGCTGTAGGCGAAGAGCCATGTAGAGACATTAAACCCATAGGAGAGACATTCTGCACATGGGCCGAGCTTTTTCACATCCCGTCAGATCTGCTGTCTCCTCTGTCTGAAGTACCCGGTGACATGCCTTGGCCCTTTCACATCATGGCCTTTACAGAAGGCAGGCAGAGAGACAGGCCCTAGGTCCTCATAGTGCAGCCTCTGGGGCCCTGGACCAGAACATGGAAAGGTTATTTTAGGAAATGCAAGGAGTGCTTTTATTTTAATAACCAAATGTTCATTTTCATATTAACTTGCAACTCATAGCAAGTTCTTTCACTTGCAATGAAAGTAATGTCACCTGTCTTTAAAAAGTGACTTGTCTTAGAGAAAAACATTTTACAAATAATAGGTGGAACATAGATGTGGCAAAATTGTAAAAGCAGCGTGCAAAAGACCAAAAGTGTAATGTTAAAAAGCAAAATTCAACCTAGTAAATCTGAAGGGCTAATTGCCTTATAAAGCGATTCATGAATCAGGCAGCATCCCCTCTAGCAAGCAGAGGGAGGCTCTGTTGAACTACAGGAAAGGAATGGTTTCTAAATGTAGAGAGGGAACAAGACAAAGGAAATTATTATCAGAGAATCCATTGTTTTGGGCAAGGTC